TTTGGATAGTTCACATTTTCTCTAATTGTATTGAATTTAGTGTTTATTTTTGAATTACACACTAGAAATCGTATATATTATCTTCTCCCTTGAGTTGAGGCAGTACTGCTCTTGGGCCTTTCTTGACGTAAGCCAAGCTTTTGATAAAGTTTGAAACCCGGGCTTGTTGTTCATGCTAAGAACACCATGCCCTCCACCTTCTCATACATCACAGATAGTTAACTTTTTTCGGTTTTTCAGAATCATTGAAGGCAATTCCCTCTCCGCCTATTATTCATGCGGATGTTCCTCAGGGCTGCTTACTGTCTCCCGCACTTTACAATGGGTACAAAGCAGACGATACATCAATACTTTCAAGTAATTCTGATCCACTGATGATTTTTCCACTCGAGACATGCTACACGTCTCACTAATAGATTGTTAGTGTGAAAAAATTAATAAAAAGAAAAATCCATGTACACAAGCTTTACTCTCGGCAAAAAACTTCCTTACTCAAGTTTGCTCTAAACTTACTTTTGAATGCAAATCATATATTTTGCTTTTACAACCCCGCTAGAAGTTGGAATTGTAAAAAAAGCCAAAAATACCTTTTTAAATTTTTAAGTGCTTTGTACAACAATTGTATTTTATGATATTAGGACTAGCAAAACCGTTTACTGGAAGAAAAACAAATTGTAGTGGTATAGAAATGAGAGCTCAAATAAATTCGGTTCATTCTTTTATTCCATGTAAGGACGGATAAACGTACTAGTACATAGCTGTAATGTACAGTTAATCAAAAATAAATTGAATGAATAAAAAAGAAAAACATTAGAAAATACCCAACTTGATGTGCAATGAAAATTTCAAATCAGATACTTTTGAATTTGTACAAAAAAAAAAAAAAAACTATTAATTTTACTTAGCATGCAATGGAAAATGTGTTCATTCATATTTTCTACATTATTTACCACGATTAATCAATTATTTGTAAAGCGTGAGACTAAAGCAGGTATTATTTTTACCTGATTAAATGTTTTTTTATAATGTTTACATAAGAAAAGCATATGCAGTCTCAGAATTGATTTTCTACTGGACGTGAAGTGGCATGTCTTGTTCCTCAGCAACTTTAGGGCACATTTTCACTTTTCCCTTTTAGTGAGAGAGAAAATACAAAAGTGGAAAGGGTTTTACGGTTTTTATTTGATAAAACTATTGTTAACAGGAGGAAAAACAAGCATATGCACGTATCAGCATAAATAACAATGATGGCGATGATAACGATAATTAATTGCACAAATAAGAACACATATCTATGGCAAGTTATTTAAAATTATGAATAAAATTTCATTTAAAATCTAAGGTGTTTTTTGCAATATATATCTTGGTGTTTGTATGGTGTCTTTTTTTAAATGCGACTGCAGGTTTTCCCTAGGTTTTGAGCAGAAACAAAAAGTGACCTATGGTAACCCTACTTACATTTTTGCGCAGATTCCAAAACCGTCGAAAAAAATTCGACATCAAGTATCTTACTTTTTTAAATTTTCAACGGGAACCCTAAATTTGTATAATAACAGATTGTTACATTTTTCAATGCAACCTCTCGTAAATCGTAAGTAATCAAGTTGGTAAATTTAACTTCCCAATAGGTGTGTTAAATGGGAAAACAAAGTAATAAGTCCAAGGGAATTATTAAGAAAAATAATAGTGTTCCAAAGGGCTCATAGCTTGATCCTCTCGTATTTATTATGACATCCATCTTTCAATTTGTGGATTTTGAGATCTCCAGAGATGATATTAATAAATTAGATTGTACTATCAAAAACTCCTTAATTAATATGACTCAATTGTTTGGAAATACACGTCAACGAATGAGTAGAAATAAAATTTAAAAAATTATAGTGTCCCTTGATTATAATTTTATAATTTTTTTTTTACATTGATAGTTCCAAAAACTAGGGGTTTTGATTACTAACCACTTACCCTGATCTGAACATATAAAAGAAAATGCCTGTAAATTATCATCGTCATTCTAATCCTTGAAATTAGAGATACCAAATCACTTGAAGTGCGACGAGCACTCTATTTTTCACCCTTCTAGAAACTATGCCTTGCTGTATACTCACAATTCAAAAAGGTTTGTGAGGAGTAAGCTGTACATGAAAAAGAATGAGTCTTGTAGATTAGTTTTAAAGAGAAATGAAATAATGACTGATAAATCTGGTACAGGAATTCCACGGCGACCCTCTTATTGATCCTTATTTTTTGAAGGCGCGCGTAGGTAAAAGTTGGAGCGTTAGGAATTTATTGAGTTTCCAACGTGGTGAAGGGCAAAATTCGAGGAGTATAAGCTTTCCGGGACATTTTAAAAGTTCCTTCATTTGAGATAGAGTAAAGGGCAAAGTAATTCTAAACGATCTAGAATTTAACGATGATTTAATAAATAATAATTAAATTTAATGATTGTCCACACTTTCGTACAGACTATGTCAGAATAGAAAAATCATACATTAAACTCCAATTCTCATTATTCTGCAGCTTTGTTCCAATTGTCCCAAAAATATCTCACAAATTTAGATCACGAACGATTTTTTTACAACTGACGAGGTAAAGAAAAAGGAATAAAGAATAAAAAAGTGGAGAGAAAGAAAGAAGAGGTTACAAAGGGAATTAAAAGAATAAGTTAGAGCGAGGATAGAAAGAGAAAGATAGGTAGATAGATTGGTAGATGAATAAATAGATGAGTGAGAGAGAGAGAAAAAGAGAGAGAAAGTGAGAGTGATAGAATGAGAGAGAGTTAGTGCGAGGTGATACAAGGGAAGAGGGAAACAGAAAGAAGAGGAAAACAGAACAAACAATAGCAATGAGTGTTAATGGACAAAGAGATAGATAATGAGAAATTCTTCTGTATAAAACGAAAAATATTGTAAATTACACATATGTACATAATTTACATGAACATCAAACAATAAATGTGAATAAATCGCTATATTCGTAACGTAAAAAGGCAAAAATTAATCGCAGTTTTAAATTTATTGAGACTAAAATGCTTAGTAAATTGCCAGTAAACGTAATATCACTACCTGAAAATCTATGTAAAAAAAGAATAGGCAGATGGTTTCAAACAAACCCAATTTACAATTTTAGTGAAGCTGATGTAGGCTGAATGCAAAATTAAAATCAAACAACAATATATATATTTTATCATTCACTAATTCAATTCTATTCTGTTTAAATAATAAAATAACCTCAATTATATATGATTATATATAAATCCTTCACGTACTAACAAACTGAAACTTTTTCAACAGCGTTCTTAATCTCCTGCTCGTAGTCAGGTTCCACTGGTTCTTTTTTTTCGGGGTTTTCTCATGTTTTATGCCCTTTTAGAATTGAAAGCTCGAGCAAAAGTTCAAAACCACGACATGCAACTGACCAGCGTGAACGATCAATTCTATCCGTAAACTAAAACTAAAACTCTTTCGCAACGCTTTACGTGACGGTTCTTACACGCCCAAAGGAGTTATTACACTATGAAAATCGCCGTTTCGCTACCCTCGGGCATCGAAGTCTACATAAAAAAATATCCACTTATAAAAACAAGATAAATTGTAAAACCAAAACTAACTCTAGAATAATAAAAAATATAAAATTAAAAGAGTAATTATTAGGAGCAAATATAATTTATATTACCCTCAATATAGTTTCTCAGGATTATAAATCATTTATTCTGCCTATCAAAAATATGAACCTCCGAAATTCAACATTTAAAAATTTATAAATAAAGGACTAACAAGAAGAACCTACTGACCTGGGAATATCAATATTAATGAAACCGGCATTATTCAGTGTAAGCATTTTTTTATTTTTAATGCCAGTGTCTTTTATAATGCGCACGTAATTTTATTTTTTTATTTATAATTTGATTCATTTTTTGAAGTAGAATAATAAATGCTTCCCCAAAAAATTAATGTATAGCAGAGAATAGTCGAACTATGTACTGAAATAAAATACATAACTGTTTTGTGACCGAGAGACGTATAGTTAGTTAAATGTTTTTTAACGAGAAAAAATAATTTATTCCGTTCCGTCCACTTCAAAAACCTCACGAGGTAGATGTTTTTTAGAAAATCAAAATATCTTTTTTTCCTAAAGTGGAAAAATATTTCTTATTAATTTATATCCTAATTTAAATATTATTCCTTCCTGAGTGGTTCTTTTTCGACAATCTGGAAAAATGGCGATAACTTTAAAAGAACTTTACTGATCCATAGGAACTTTTGCGGTGGTGTAGGACTTAACTAAGCTAAACGAAAGAATTAAATTTGGCTTCAGTGAACAAAACAGACTCGAAGAAATAAAATAAAACGTTAACGAATTTTTGATATTTTCATCCTTATTATTCTCACTTGTAAGTTAATGCAATATTGACTTAACCTCAAAGAAGAAATATTCTATTTGTTGAATGGGTTATAATAAACTTGAATTTAGATAAAATCCAAAGGAGTTATGCACTTTTATGGGGAAAACCGAAAATCGAAGAAAAAAATTGCCTCCGTTTGATCAAGCTCAAAAAAAAAAAAAAAAGTTGTATCTTGTAATTAAGGGCTTAAAATTATGCTTAAACCTAAACGAAATGTTCATCTTTAAAAACTTTTTTTTTTTTATTAGTTTACTGGAAGCGCTTATCGTTTTTCTAAGTTTTTATCATTCAATTCGATCCTGATTATTATTTATTTATCCTAGATTTAAAAAAATTGACCTAAATAATAATACACTATGAAATTTATTCACAACAAAGGCAGGAAACCACGTTAAAAATATAATGTAAATTACTTAAAACATTTATTGTCTGAGTTCCTAGGGTTTCATTTGCTCGAACAAGTGGCTAATATTTTTTGATTTAGCACGACAAAAAAATATTAAAAAATATGAAATTTAGAATGCATGTTTAATCATAAAATTTACTCTACGTGAACATAATTTCAATTCGCATGCATAATCGTTTTGTTGTAAATTACCTCTTCAGGAAAATTCCTTGGTTTTTGGACCTGGAACGAAAAATAATACAAAATTATAAATATATATAAAACACAATTAAAAATTGATAATAGCAATTGATATGAAACATGACTCAGTAATATAGCAACTTTTAATCATTAACGAACAAATTATTTTATTGTAAATTAAATAAGATTTTATTATTGTATTTCATTCTCACTCTCTCTTCCTCTTTCTCTCTCTTTTCTCTCTCTCTCTCTCTCTCTCTCTCTCTCTCTCTCCCTCTCGTGTGTGTGTGTGTGTGTGTGTTTTTTACACAATAATTATAATAGTTGAACATCAGAACAATATAACACAAGTAAAGAGAACATGATGTAACATGTTGTTTTTTAATTAGTAAAGAAGTAAGAAAAATTAAGATGAAAAAGTAAATTATTTTTAAAAAATCATGTTGGATAATCGTTTACTCTATTCGAAGTAAGGTGTAATAAATTTCCTCCCTTTTAGAGGAAATTTATTCATTTTTCAAATTAGACGCTGATAGATAGATACTGCGTTATTTACGGATAAATCATAGAATAATTCATATGAATATTTGTGATTGTGAAATAACCGCATTGTAGGTATTTTCTGTTCGTCGTTGATACAATAAAAATTTGTGTTCATCCATCGCCAAGTGATCTGAACACGAAGGAGCGAATGGACAAGATGAGTCCTGAACCAGGACTGTCAAAAACAGTACGGTGAGCACGTGGTTCTTTGACGTAAACTTTTTTTTTATAATATTGTGTATTGTATTTTTGGGGTCCGCAAAATGCCAAAATCAGCTCTCTTCATATAATAAAAATTTACTTGTATAATATTGCCAATAGTTTTGGTTGAGGATTGAAAATTATGTAAAATTTGGGCAAATAATACATTGTTCATTTTAAGATTGTAGACTTTTCACTGGTATTCTCGATCTAAATTTATCCGAAACGGTTTACCACTATCAAGGAGGTTTTCTGTTATCTGTTCTGACATCAATATCCTTGAAATAATTAACAATTCTTGAATAAATTTAAAAAATTATTTATTTATATTTTAAAGTACCCCGGCTTTTTGTGGTAGTGTTAATTTTTAAGTATCTCAATTAAACAGGTCTTAAATTCGAGGATACTTCTTTGTGTATTCAACTTAGACACTTCTTTAGAGAAAAAAAAAGATTCTATTGAATCTAGTTGTAAAGAAGGCAATAAACAATTCCCACCCTTTGGCATGTGCGGTGTGAAACGAGGATTGGTCTCACTGTTTTCCAATTCGAATCGTATTCAATCAAAAGTCCTCAATCCCTTTCTTCCTAATACGACCCTTCACAAAGTCCTAGATTTACTTTCGTACCTCAGATCCCGCCCCGCAAATCCTTTCGGAACACTCAACTTACCTAAGCCAATCCCGCCTTGTTACAACGCACTCAACACTGGGCTTAACGATAAAAATTGGAAATATCAATAATGACGATATCCGACAGATCTCGCTCTAAGGTTTACCGATAAATCTGAGTGACATGCGTAAAGGAGAAATCTGAACGAATATGGCGTGAGTCTTAAGAACACACGACTCTTCAGACTTTCAGCAGCTTCTTCATGCTTCAGAAAGCACGCGAAAAGAATATTTTCCGTTGATTTTTTAATGTCAGAAGAGTTCAATTGTTGCCTTGAGGGACTCCTTATAAATTAGAGTTGATGACAGTCACAGTATTAGAAAAATATCAAGAACGGAAAGAATTCAGTTATGCAGAGCAATGCAATTTCTTATACAGGGAGGTCAGGAATTATACAAAAGTTCAGATGTTGCCTTGAGCGTGTGGGATGCGGGTGAGAGAAAACGCATCTCGAAAAATTTGTATACCTTTTTCTTAATCCAAATCCTGGGACTGTTCAGCTAGTGCTCCTAGGAGGCTCCAGCAGACCCTTTCCAACCCTTGGTTACAAGGGAGGTTTCCAGGCACAAAATAATGGTGCAGCCTTGAGAACGTGACGAACTCTATAAAGCACAAGTTGGCTCGTGTTTACTGGCGCGCATGGCCGTGTTAAGCAGCCTCTGCGTGCATTTGGAAGACAGGACCAAGGAAGCGTATAGAGTGCGAGGATGCTGAGACTATGCCTACTAGTCCCTCAAGATGCGTCAAGTTGCTGTTTTGAGAGTTGGCCGCGAACAGCGGGTGCTGTAGCAGAAGCACACGGGGGAGGGTGCATAACCATCTGTACTGACGGGCAGCGTATTTTCGTTCCAGGTTCAAGCCCAGCTACTTAGGTAAGGACTCGCAGTGGTTGAGAGTGAGACCCCTGGCGGGTACCTAGAGAAGAGGCTGTGTTTCATTCGTGGCGTGGACCGTAGTACTTTGCGCATGACCTCCGAAATACCTCCCGACCTCGTGGGAATCGGATAGATCGGATTGCCGAGAGCGTATAACCAGCGAGGAGCTACGCTGCCGGCGTCCCTCGAATGCTTGAGGAATGGTAGACCAGGGCGGGTGCTTGTGGGTGGCGGTCGTCAGAGCTGCCTTTACCTTAGGCATGGTCTCCTCTAGGGGGTGGTTAGAGATTCCACTAAAATCGAAACCGGATTGTATCCGGAGGTTTCGACGCTTGCCCCACACCCAGGAAGATAGAGTTGTCGTCTCTATGGTGGTCGTGCGTGGCCGATGCATTTCGACCACCTTTTGAGTATCTCTTTGCGCACGGCACTGGTTAAGTGCACAACATTAACCCACCCCCTCGGAAGGTGCAAGCGGGAGAAGTCGACATGTCTGCAGTTTGCTGCAGGATGATGTGGGCTTCTACACCGAACCTCACAAAAGCAGCAGATTTTCCGTGCGCGGAGGTGAGCCGCTCCTAACTTGAGAATCTAAAACGTGTGATAAGGTCTTATCGGCCAGGTGCGCACGCTAAAGAACCTCAATGTTGCATGACATTGCGACCCCGGTGGGAACGTAGGCCATACAAAATGGTTAGGAATAGGCGAAGAGTTCAGGTATTGCCTTCAGGAACTCCATCTAAATTGATAGTCACAGTCATTCTATCAGAAAAAAGTAAATAAAAGAACAAAATTGAGTGATACTGAACAATGCAAGTGTCTTACTGAACACAGATAATTCAGAATGGTTACGCTTATGATAGAAGAGAGGTTTTGCCTTGAGGGACGCCCTCTAAAATAGTCGGCGGTGACATATATTTGAAAAAACGTAAGAAGATAAGGCTAAAATTATACGAAGCGACAAAGTTTACATGAATTAATGAAATATCATTCTGGAAATCTGAAAGAAAATGACGTGAGTCTTTCAAGCAAAGACTTATCAGATATTCTAAAAACTTATTAAAGGGAAATGTTTCGCAGATTTTTTTGTAAATCCTCTTGTAATATTTGTCTAATAATTAAGTACATATCTCTCATGTATAGTTAAATATGTGTCGTATTGAGTGTTCTGTGATTCAAATGTGTACATATCTTTGCTCAATAATCGTTTTTCTTTACCAATTTCCAAGGAAACGAATCTCACTAACAAATTCCGGCATTAATAATTTAGTTACAGCATAAAGGGTGAGCCCAACCGCAATTTGGAATATTCTCGTGGGCCAATTCCTGGAAATATAAATACTGAGGCTACCATTTGGCCATATTAATTCAACACGGGAACGCTAATCAGTCATGAAAGGCAAAAGTGAAACGGAACAAAGCCGTCTCACAACAAGCCGATCGCTACCATGTCGTGTCGGATTACTCAATTTACAAACGCCGCCACTGCCGCTATTTGTCCGGATCAATCGGCAGAAGAAAGAAAACAGTTTAGTGTAAATAAGCCGAACAGTGGAAGTTTGCGAAGGGAACATTTGTGTAAATTCCCCTTTTTGAAGGTAACCCACGAGGCGAGTAAACATCTCCTCCAGAGCTGAGATTTCTTTTTGCTTCTTCCCCATTGAAACTGAGCCTCTATTTGCTCCTACTCCGCCTTTTGGAATCAATTTCGGCAAAAGTTTGATTTGCGTTGACATCCAACGCACCTTAAACCGGCTCTAAATAAGAATTTCAAACAATCGGCAGTGTAGTCAAATAAAAAGAAAACGTGTATTACATTTCAAAATTTGTCCGACTGTCAATCCAATATCAACAGATGAATTTTTAAAAAGCACGCCTACTCTCATTCATCAAAGGCCTGAAATATTGAAATATAATGTATCATTGGAAAAGTCTGAGACCTTTACTCACAATATAAAACCTACCTTTGTACCAAAAATCGTTTCTACCTATACGAGAAGGGCTTTATAATTTTAATGATTTGACTACTCCTACCCAGCCACCCTTAAAGCGCCATTAATTTAAAAAAATTGCTATATTCAGATTTTTACTTTCAATGTAAAACCTACATTTGTACGAAATATCACATTTCTAATTATACGGGAAGTGCCTTATAATTTGAATGATGAGACGACCCCCTCCCCCATAAAGCGGCACTAATTTTGAGAAAATAGCAATTTTTTGGTTCTTAAATTTACTTATATTATAAGACCTAAGTTGAATTAAATATCAAATTTTTCATTATACGGAAAATGCTTTATAATTTGGATGATGAGACGACCCCCCCTCACCATTAGGTGACACTAATTTGGAGAAAATTGAAATTTTTTGGTTCTTAAATTTACTTATATTATAAGACCTAAGTTGTACCAAATATCACATTTCTAAATATACGGGAAGTGCCTTACAGCTTTGATGATGGGTCTACCACCTCCTTTCCTATATAGACATAAATTTTTGGAAATTTTCAGATTTTTATCAGATTACTTTTTTTTTAAATCAAATTTCATGTTTCTCCCTTCAAGGGAAGTGTCTTTTAATTTTGGTGATCAATGAGTCAGTTAAAATCAGTCATGCAAATTTTGAAGTGCTCCCCTTTCGAAGAAGCTTAATATTCAGAGCTCAAATTTTCCAATCTCATAAGCTAGATTGAGATGGAATTTCAAAAGTCCATCTTGAGTGGAAGCAGAGATATGAAGATGAGAAAAACCGT